AAGCCAGAGGATAACGCGATGATTAGTTTTTAGTGTCACACAGTCACACTTGTTTTTGGTAAGGTAAGTATGCTCCATAGTTTAAATTTAATCTGAGTATTACATGCTTAAAAGTACTATTGTTCAATTATACCATCTATTGCCATAGCAAAATATATATCTGTAAGATTTTTTTCATATATTTACAATCGAAGAAACAGATATTCTTAATACACTTTCGCATTTATAGCTGCATAGTAAAATAGTTAGTAAAAAAATATTGAATCATTTTTGTAATTCTTTCCATTCCTATCGCTTTGATTTAAGTTATTAATTAAATAAAACAATTACCACATACGATTAACTATTTTATATTTACACAGTAATTAAGTATTTTTTATTTCAGCAAATTTCTGTAAATGATATAGAGTTTTAACTACATCATCAGAACAAATGACGTCTCATGGTTTCTTTAATGTCCATAGCCGTGTCCATAGCCATGTCCGTAACCACCGTGCGCGGTACCAGTAACTTCAATTGGGCCAGCAGCAACAATCGCATTACCACCAACTGTGCCAGCAACAGCACCAAGTCCGTTATTGTCAATCAGCAAAAGACTGTCCTGTCTTGCAACTGTATCAGCAACTGCTTGAGCCTGAGCTGCACTGCTCGCCACGGCAGCTGCCTGAGCTCTTGCAGCGTTGGCGATGCTAGCGGCTTCTATGGCACGTGAGTTTGCAAAGGCGACGGCTTGTAAACGAGCTGCGTTTGCAATGCGTTCAGCTTCAACGGCTCTAGACAATTCCACGGCGCTGGCAGCGGCAGCTCGTCTTGCTGCCTCAGCCGCTCTGGCGTTCTCTAAAGCAGCGGCTTGGGCTCTTTGCACGTTAGCAATGCGGGCTGCGTTCAAAGCATGGGCATTTTGAATGGCGTTAGCCTGACCTGCTCTAGCAGCAACTTCTGTAGCACGCGCATTCTGGATACCTGCAGCAGCGGCGTTTCCAATCTGAGCTGCTTGAACAGCTTGAGCATTCTGAATAGCGCTAAGTTGTGAAGCGCCTACTGCACCGGCGCTGTTTAATGATGCAGTTGATCCGGATCCCAGACCACCGAGAGAGCCAAGAGCTACTCCACCAACACCCGCTTGACCAATAGCGAGTCCACCGAGACCACCTCCTCCAAGATCCAGAGCAATACCACCATGAACTGGTGCCGATAAGATTGCAGGTGAAAAGTATCCAGTTTGCTCAGGTTTTGAGTCCGCAACAGATTTGTTTTTTAACACAGCTGTAAATTTAAATTGAAATTATAAAAGATACCATAATATTATTTTAAGAAAACTATTAAAAGTTAGCTAACCTTTTCCTAGTGCTCCATACACCATGGAGAGAACAAACAGAACCTGCAAAGAAATAACAATTAAGTCTTGCCCAGTTTCTTTGGCTAAGCTCGATATGATTCCTTACCATTAGTTTGGACATTTTGTTGGTGGTACAAAACCTCTTGTTATAGTCGTACAGACGTGAATATACCTTGTAAAAACTAACATGCACTTTTATACGAAACTGAAATTTATTAATATGCAATTACCAATTCTAAATAGACGGCTGACGCCACTTTACCTGAATATTGTTGAAGTTCGTGTAAAAACTTACCGAAGACCGGTAATAAGATCGTTTGATTTGGTCCACTACTCTTACGTCAGAATATGCTTAACTAATGATATTTATGCGCAGAGGCGATGAGAACTCGGAGAAATTAATCGTGGTTCGTAACACAGAAGGCGAAGACTCATCTCCCTCAAAACTTTACACTGTCATAATAGAGGCGCTGGATAGAAGCCCGTGGAATCAGATAGTCTGCTCCAGATGCTTCCTTGCTGACCACGACGCACTGACATGAGCTGCCGATTAAAGAGAGAGTAGCATATTTAACAGATGAGGCAAACATGCCTAACAACTTTGACCAGGTTCTGTGGGCTTCAACGAACTCAGAGTGGGCCAATAATTTGCGCTTACCATGTATCTGACATTAAGTCGTTACGTGGAAAGGAAATCCAGTGGGAATCCCAGCAGTGCCTAGGCCTCAGGGTGCCTGATGGTTACGTTAGGAGGCGACATCGACCGCCGTTATTATTCGTACCCTCAGCGAAAACTAACCTCTCGAAAAGGGCACCCATGACACAGTGTATGGAAATAATTAATGAATTGCATAAAGTTTTTAATTGTCCGTTGAGTGAACTGTCAAAGGTCTGCTTCATGTCAGTTCATAGTTATTATTTTTCTGAATATTTTAATCTATTACCGTCTTGCCAATGTAAAACAAACTACAGATGAAGGAAAAATTTAATAATTATTTCTATAACCCGATTTTGTATACATTGATATCTGCTATTTGAATAAACTCGATTAGGTAAATCGTCACGCTTTATTAATTCAAATCTTATACAGCACTTATGTAAGCAGCTAATTAGCAACTTGCAAATGAAAAACTGCGTGTCAAAATATGAGTCTCCGTTAAAACAGGCCCATTGCGTGCTAACTATTGATCCATAAATCCATACTTTAAATACAGTATGCTAATAAACGAACGTATGCATTGTGTAATGGAAAAATATCAATTAATTTTATGACCCTTTTTAGGTTGGAAACAGCTGTAATCTTTCTTAGATATATACCTATATAAAAGGTATATGAAAAGTTAGTCCTAACCAGGGCCGGATCTTAATGGGTTTTTTGGGCTGCAGTCCAGGGCACCGTGGATACAATTGCCCCAAGTACATACCCACTGAAAACAATAGGCGTTATTTTGAATTAAAAAAATACCTGATAAATGAGATAATAATAATAATATCTATATCTAATAATATCTGAGATCAATCAACCCATGTGCGAGCGCATCTATCGGACGGAACGGGGAATTCTCCGTCGCTTGTTTTCGTACGGTGTATTTTTCGTGTGCGTCTATTACGGGGGACTACCCCGTAATAGCCCAGTGCCCACAAATTTACGATTCGCCCATGGTCCTACAAATACAATAAAACAAACCTACGAATAATTGTACAATCTACCCTTAAAATCCAGGGAATTACGGCTTAAACAGGCTCGGAAGTACGTTGCCGGCCTTTTAAGAATTGGTATGCTCTTTTATACATCGAAATCCTTATATTTTCGTTTCACCTATACAAAGAGTGCTAAACAAATATGAATACGATTTGATCAGTAAGAAAACGTCGATCCATTTCAAATATAATACAAGCAACTTGTCTAAGACCCAAGGAAGGCTCAAGAGGTCAATGTAACGGCATATGACATGCTCGTATTCGAAGAAAGTATCTGTGACTAAGCGCATTTTACGCAGGTAGAGTTGCTCTCAATATTATTGGCGCCGTGTTTTCGAGTTGAGGAATTAAAAAGGTTCTATATGTGTAAAAGGTTCCAAACAAGTAATCTATTTTAAAACTTCTTTAAGTATCTTCAACGTGTTTATTAGCTGCATGGTTTTATCGGGAATGCAATAAGAGGAAGACAAAGAAAGCTGATTTCATATCTAGAAAAAAAAATAGTAAAATTATGATCTTTGTGTTCTAGTAGTCAATTAAAATTATGATCTTTGTGTTAAGTACAATATTTAGCATTCTTATTTATTACTGTTCTGTTAATGGAGTAAGAAATCAACTAATGTTTATTTATAAGTTTAAATAGTTAATAAGTTTCTGATTTTTTGCTTTAGCAATGATTTGAATTCAAAATCATTTATTTATTTAGATAACACAATGTACTCTTATGAACGTCAATGAAGAAATACATAATAAATGCTTCTAATTGTACATTAACTGCCAGTCCTCAAATCAAGGGCGTAGAACGGAAGAGAAGAACTGGCAATAAACTCTCCGCCACTCTTTTTAATCGCCAAGTTTTTTGATTTACAAGATGTTTATAAGGAGCTTCAACCATTACATTATGTCCCACGTGATATATTTAAGTATATAAACGAAGAAAAAAATAAACATTTTGTCCTCTATTAGCAGTAGGCATTGTGAAATAGGAGCTCGCACTTATTTTCTCGTGTTAGTCGGAATCGGGGTAGTGGGGTGACAGAAGTGGAAAAAATAGGAGAAAGTAGCAGACATAACTAGTTCCTGCATATTCTCTGAATATCGTTTTGGATGACACAAAGAGATTTAAGTGGGTATTGGTCCGGTAGTTAAATTATCAAGGAGTGGGAAGAGTTCCAACGTACTCTTTAATAATTGTAATAAATTTGTATGAATTTTCGACACTTTTAAATTTTTAAATATTTTAATGACAATTAAATTCAGGAAATTCCTTACATATCTTCCTTTTTCGCTCCCTCTAAGTCTCGTAAATCTAATGTTTTAGATTTGTATAAATATGAACAAGAGTAAAAACTTTTTTTTTTTTTTTTTTTTTTTTTTTTTTTTTACGTTATCTCAAAGATTTTACAATAGCTGATAAGTGATTGGGACCTCCTTTTAAGCGCATAAGCACTTGTGTTAGGAGAACCCGCTCTTCCATTACATAGGTGTACCAACTAATTATGATTTAATTTAACACGTATAGCTAAGCTAAGTATTACAATTTTACAATTTACTAAACATAATCTAAGCCTTTTTTTGCCTAAGAAGTTTCACTTCTGACATGTGTATGTACTTTGTACGCACGCATTTTTTTTTATATAACCGACGCAAATGGGCAATCATAATGCTCGCAAGTGCGTTGCCGGCGTTTTAAGAATTGGTACGCTCTTTTCTTATATGTCACTAAGTCGAATTGGTTCGGAAATGCTTCAGTTGGCAGCAGGTTCCACATAGTGGTCGTGCGCGGCGGAAATTGCTTTAAAAGACGCTAGGTCTTATGTTGCACACGTAAAAAAACCCATTGGGAATTTGAAACCACAGCCAGGAATTGAACGGCTTTTGGTTTGTCCATTGTTGACTAGTTAATAAAAGAAGACGTAAAAATAAGAACACAAATGAAAGCTTTATTTTCTTTTCATCGTCATCCTTGATACTTTTCCTTGAGAGCTTTTAATTTGTCCGGATATGCTATAGCCAACAATTGTGAGAACATATTATATCTTTCCATGTCTCGCGGTGAGCAGTTGTTGCAGTTGGTCTTTATCATTTGAGTTATTGATTCTGAAATAAAAGGTAATATTTTAGCCACCAAAGCCAATGTAAATCTTAGTGGTTCAAACAATGAATAAGTAGTGTCAAAAATAATAGTAACTTAGTTTTAAGAAAAGAATTATGAAAGAAAATCTCTAAATTATGAATTGTTCTCGTCCGTGCTTTGCGAATGGAGGTAATAAAACATTTATGTATTTTTAATAACCTACATTTTCACTTCTGAGTTCTTCTTTATTACAATTATTTAAGCTATTAGTAAAGTGTGATCCAATAAAAAAATATTTAAATCTATCGTTATTATTATTTAATACTAGATGACCCCGTGAACTTTGTTTCACCAACATATACGTTGTGTCAAAACTTTTAAAACAGACCAGAGGTCGGCCCTCATACAGCAGACTACATACTAATACTATGAAACACATATTTTTAAGAATCTACAAATATGTAAATGACAACCAAGTGACAATTTTTTATTTCTAAAAAGACGTTCAATTTCCCATCTAAGAACAGTTTGTATTGGGAAATTCAATTGTCGTTTTTAGTATTATCTTTAATTATTATTTACGTTTCCCATTGTTTAAACCTTCCCTGATCTTCCACAAATATTTCAAGATCATAATTAGCCAAATCGGTCCAGCCGTTCCCGAGTTTTAGCGAGACTAACGAACAGCAATTCATTTTTATATATATAGATAATCAGGAATCAGATCGTTAGATGGAAGAGTTTAATTGATATTATTATGAATTGTAAATTAATGATTTTTTTTTTAATTTATTACCATTTAAATACCATGTGTATTTAAATTCAAAGACGGCTTAATATTTAAAGTAGTGGCTGTATTCAGTCATTAAATTAATAAATGTGGATGGGGAGAGGGTATAGAGAAAAGGAGTGACAAAGACAACTGACAGGAAAAGAGGGTAAGACAGAGAAAGTGGACGGATAAAAATGACTAGGCACAATAACGAGAAAACACGACCTTAATTTAAACAAAAACAGGACCTGCATATAAATTAGTTTGTTGGCATCATCAGTATAATTTCGACATTAGAGTCTACTTTTAAAAAAAAATCCTACCTGGTTAACCAGGTATTTATACCAATCTGAATTTGTTATTAAAAAAATCGAGACATTTTGTGTACTCGTTCCACGACAGTACCCGAATCGACTAGAGTCAAACGGCAGTCATAGGAACGAGTGTCTAAGATTCTTTAATACTAAATGTCTTTCAATACAAAATGTTTTTTCATTAATCCTTGAATAGTCGTTAATTTATAGATCTATAAACATTGACAAATGAAAAATTTAGTATTAACGATTTTGGCCTAATTTGACTTTGATTTTAATTAATTATAATGACAATGGCAGCAGACACTATCGCCATAGCTCCATCATTAGAAATAATGACTATAAATTAATGCAATGTTTGGATGTACCACGCGCGCCATTCCAACTTGGTTAGCGAACGCGCCACTCACGCGAGCAATACAAATAATAAACATAATTTCTATTGAGGTAGACCTATTTGTTTGTACGCTGAGTTCACAAAAGTTGCTTGCTATTATATTGTTAGTTATAAGATTTTGGTATATAAATATATATTTTTTAATGTTTTTATGTAGGATAATCGGTGTGGGGATTATTGTCTTGTTGTATATGTGTCTTGTATCGATCGAATTAATCGTAACTGTTAAAATAGAATAATAATGTGGAATAAAAAAAAATCTATTACTATATATATGTATTTGATAGCAAATAGTCGTTAGTTGATCTAATAATGCCAACAAATGTAATAAACTACAAGTATCTTGAATGAATTTGACTTTGACGCTGTCAAACGAGCCCGGTGTCATATAATGACAGTGACAGCAGAAACCAGCGCTATTGATCCGAAATATTATATTCAGCAATTAAACGCCCATTGTCCCATAAACATATTTCTTACCTTTAAACTGTTGCATATCACCGCACGGCGCCTGCTCCATTAAACAAGCAAAAACACGTTTCCTCTCCTTTTCATTTTTAAGCAAATTTACTAAGTCTAAATCTTCTATATTCTTTATCTCCTTACTGTTTATAATAGCAATACATGATATACACGAAATAAGTATTAATAGTCCTATTTTTGTCATTGTAAGGAACTGAAACAAAAAAATATTAGCATTAATTGAAAGTCCAGTTTTACCTTTTCTTTGGGTGAAAGTAAGTTTTTAATACTATTATTAATTTTAGAAATAATTATCAGTTTTCTAAGCTTGCTTACACTGTACCAGCGACAAATAAAGCTATGGAATCATAAATAACTATGTTCGTTTATTATGCTTATAAGGTATTTTTAGCGCCTTATGATAAAAATGGTGCAATGACTTAAACATCGCCGTAATCTCGTAGGCCATGCTCTAAATTTATACGCCTAACAATTTTAAGCATTCTGAATTTCCTAGAGATTTTTAGAAATTCTTTAAGAGTTTAAATTGATAGATAACTCTTTTTATTTTATGTATAGAGCGGAACGAACACATATGCGAATGCAATAAGATCGGGCTTTTAGTCACAGAACACGATTAAATACATAATTTTTTTACTGAACTGCTCAGTAAAAAAAACTTTACAATAATGCATACATTATAAATCAATTAACATTATGTTATAAGAAAAGCTGTTGGTCGAACACTTTATTCACAGATGGTCTTATTAAGTCCCCATATCAACACTTGTTATATCTTCCATGGTCTAAAGGTTGTCGCACGTGTCATACAACTTTTTTTATGTAATAGGAGGCAAACGGGCAGAAGGCTCACCTGATGTTAAGTGATACCACCGCCTATGGACACCCACATTATCTGTGAATAAAGCGTTCGACCAACAGCTGCCCGTCTGTTTCATAACAAAAGCGTCCTGTACATAATAAAAAGAACACACATATATAAGATTACTCTCAGTGAGCGGAGATTTGTTACAATATGTTAGACGGTGTATAGTCTAAAAAAATCGCCATACAATCTAAGATATATATATATATATACGTTATAACGTAACGCATAAACGAATACTAAAAGTAAACAGAACTCACCTTTATTATATCGACGCAACAATTAAAACATAACTTTAACCCCATTAGACTTTTATACTAGCGATAATTATGTTCCATGCAGATAATTGTGTAAAATGCAATCCTTTGTGATGATGAAGACGTACCGGTTATATAATTACGCAATTACTAATTCAAAGTTTTTTAAAAAAAATTGCGGATACAAAATCTCAGATACTAGAAACTTCGCTCCGATATTGACAGCCTTTTTAAATTTTGTAACTTGAAGGACTCGAATAATATTCAAAATCGAAATTTTTGTATATTAAAGTCCGCTCACTATTATTCATGTTACTGTCTTTTCCTTTATTATTTTAAGTAAGACGACTTAGACTCACAGTCAAGACTGACTAAGTATGTAAGTGATAAAATCATTTTAACAATTGTAGTGGTTTTTGTTAGCTACTACTAAATAATATGTTACAGTTACAGATGAACAGTGCTAGCTGATAGTCACCGTGTATACGAGTACTGATGTACCCCTATGTAGAACCAGCTGCCCACTGAAGTATTTCCGAACCAATTCGACTTAGGGTCCTTCAAGAAAAGAGTAGCAATTCTTGAAAGGCCGGCAATACACTTGCGAGCATTCTGGCAATGTGAGTGTCCATGGGTGGCGGTTTCACTTATCATCAGGTGAGTCTCCTGCCCGTTTGCCTCCTATTACATAAAATGTTAAAGAAATATACAGAGTTTTATCTTTGACCCACACCATTTTTTCAAGAAATTATACGAGAGGAACCAGTGCGAGTGTGATCGTGACGACTTTTTCCAGCGTAGTGCGTACTGACTGAACCGCGTAACACTCAAAGCATTCGCTACAAAAACCGACAGCCCGGTGAAGCACTCAAAGCGAGCAAAGGAACCAGCACCTTGTAACACTGCGTACTGACTACGTGTGTTGCATGTTACTTTACACCTCGTTGGTCAGTACCCAGCTTAAGGCAAGTGGTGCACAGCCGGGGATCGAACCTACGACCTCAGTGATGAGAGTCGCACGCTGAACACTGCTCTATAATTTAAATTGGACTACTTAAAATGGGTTTGATTGTTGCGTTAATAAACAAACTTAAAATATATATATATATATATATATAGAAGTTATATGTAAATACTACGAGAATTTTGATTTAGAAACGGTTTTTTAATTAATAGTGATTAATTTCATTAAGTCATACTTTATTTAATAGTTCTAGCGATATAAGAGGAAAATATTTATTCTAGTCTTTGTTTGTTAAATCTATATTATATTATCTAGTTTGATTTTAATCAGGGTCATATCATTATCAGGAAGAAGAATGGCATCTACCACAGTCTTACAACAAACAAGTGTCTGAATTTTAAATTAAATGAACAAGGCTTTCGAGTAAAATTTATTTGAATTTCGAATCGCTACAATCCATAAATATTTTATCTGTAAATGCTGGTTATAGAATCTTCAATTACATAGATAAAGCCCTATTAAGATCTGCGCCCTTATAGATACCGATCCCGACGTTTTTGTATGCAAATCTGATGTAGGAAGTTAAATCTGCCAACGAACGAAATCTATGTAAAATCATTCCAAACTTTATCAAACAGCACTATAAAACATATATATACTACAATACTTGTATATTACCTGTACCACTATTGGATAGTTGATATGGATCTCAAACTTGGGTGCCCACTAAAGCGTAGCATACAAAGGTACAGGTGTGTCAAAGATCGTTGGAACGATAATACAGCTTAATACATAAATAATACAGCTTCAAGGAGAACAACTAAGGTAGCAGATGTTACAATAAAAATAAATAAGCTAAAGTGGAAATGGGCACGTGGGGCACATGGCAAAGGGAACAGAAGTGGAGCAAAAAAGTACTAAACTGGTGCCCAGCAAACGAAAAAGAGTTTAGCGGTATTTCTTCGTAGGAAGTCATAAATTGTACGATTTTTTAGTTTATCCATGGCATCTACCACAGTCTTACAACAAACAAGTGTCCGAATTTTAAATTAAATGAACAAGGCTTTCGAGTAAAATTTATTTGAATTTCGAATCGCTACAATCCATAAATATTTTATCTGTAAATGCTGGTTATAGAATCTTCAATTACATAGATAAAGCCCTATTAAGATCTGCACCCTTATAGATACCGATCCCGACGTTTTTGTATGCAAATCTGATGTAGGAAGTTACAGAGACCTCAAGTCTCGCTACCTCTGGTAACTGGTAGAGCTGTCTTGAGAGATAGTCGAACTGGATCGGTGGTTGGTTTTGTAAGTCTCCTTTTACATATCTTCTAATACAAAAAATTCTCGTGTCACAATGTTCGTTCCCATACTCCTCCAAAACGGCTCGACCGATTCTTATGAAATTTTTTATGCAAGTTCAGTAAGTCTGAGAATCGACTACTATCTATCTTTCAAACCTTTTGTTATTTCCACCCCAAATTTTTTATTTCATTTTTTTTTTAACAATTTTTTTATGATACAGCATATAAAAATACATACGACCTAATTTTCATCCCTCTACGATCAACCCCTATTTGTTATTTGTTAACTTAAAACTTATGACTTGAACTCAGAGGTTTATACAGAGAAAAATTCACAGAAAAACCTTAAAAGTTTTCATTCCGGAAAACCGAACTGTCTATGGGGTAAAATAGCAAAATTTTCCATGTTGATATGTACTAAAAAGGTAGGCTAAGTAAAATCACATTAAGGAGAAACGAAGTTTGCGGGGTCAGCTACTTTATTTTGTAAAATAAAAGTACATATTTTAAAACTACACACAATGTCTTTTTAAACGGTAAATTATTTATATTAATTATAGATAACAATAAGTGGATTATAATAAAAGGTAATGTATGCGATATTATGGATTGAAAAAGTGAGTCCGTTAGATAGATAAAGATAATAATTATGTGTTTCCGCTGTTTTTAGTATAAATTCGAAACATTGTAGTCACTTCCCATGAGTTTCATTGACAAGTCAATCTAAAAGTCACCAATGTAAGTAATCAAACCAAAACTATTTTTATAAAGTTATTATTTATTTATTTCGTTTTTCTGCAACTAACATAAGTTATATACAACAAAAAACAATAGCCAAAGATGGAAAACATAATATACAAAAAGTTTAAAATATATCCAAAAGGCAAAAATCAATAAAAGTTATTAAATACATTTAAGTAAATAATACCTTATTCGGCTGTGTACGTGTGGGTTTGTGGGGTGTGCTCATGATGCAGGTTATTTATGGAGATTCTTAATATGTACTTCTTTTAAGCATATTCCGCGATAGCTTTAATTTTTTTTACCAATAAAATTTATTTCGGTTGCCCAAAAAGGCAGTCATCGCAGGCCATAGACACCCATTTTTAGTGGGTGCGATGCCGGTCTTTGAGGGAGAAGTACACTCGAATTTTGAATTAATCGCTTTTGGATAAAGCCCGTTTTAGTATGAAATACTATTATTTCATTATGTTTCTGTAAATTGTATTATGTGCATTAGTGTAAATAAATAAGAACATCGACACATGTTTAATGTTATATAAATGATTTTATTTATAATAGTTAATTACATGCTATAATAATCTAAGTGTAGCTTAGTCATGAATTTAGCTGCGATTTGTGGGTTTAAATCCGCAAAGTTGTGGGTTTACTCATTATAGGGTAAAATAAATAATTATATCATCGTAATATATTAAAAGTTTTAATATTTAATTAACTAAAATATACTTTATGTCATGATTTTTCACCGTTCAGTATCGTTAGTATAACTTCTTCAATCAAAATCAAAATCAAAATACGTTTATTCAATTTAGAGGCTTCTTAGAGCATGCTTATAATGTCAACAACGTTTACCCAAGTGACGAAAGAGCAAGCCTACGCCATCCGTTTCCAAATCTTACCGGAGCCTGCTGGGGAGAAATCAGCAAGGCCCTCCCTTATTCCCCCCCCCTACTTCGTATAAAACTTATGCTTCATATGGTGAACATTATCGTTATAACCTAAATATAACAATCAAATATACAGTATTTACAATTATCTTAACCTAAGTACATATCTGGTAATAATAATAAAAAAACAAATTTATAACGTTTGGCCCCTGTGGCAGTGTACCTTTAACGCTGGCAGCATTTCCTCGTTGTATTGCGATACTTATTCATTGAAAAGCACCAGCTCTGGGGTTACCGGTACTATCTACCAGGCGCTAACTTAATGATTAGCGCCTGTGTACTTGAACCCCATGGCCATGGCTTATTAATTCACAATAAAAGGAAATACAGTAGCTTAATATCTATCAGCTGTATAAAGTGTGTATCAAACGTAATTTTCAGATGTTTCTTTTTATCATATCCTTCCTGATGTTATCTCCGGGAATATTTGGCTATGACGAAAAATATGACAGCGTGGATGTGGATAAAATAATCTCTGACGATGCTCTTTTTCTTGCCTACATCAATTGTTTTCTTGACAAGGGTCCTTGTGACAACGAGTATGCGCAGGATTATCGAGGTATATATTCTTTAGACTCATAATTCTAAAAAATAATCATTGAATGGCAAATCTTGAAATATTTGTGAAAGTTCAGGGTAGGTTTAAACGGTGGGAAACATAAATGATAAGTGATGAAAAATACTAAAAACTACAACTGAATTTTCCAGGAAATACCTGGGAAACATTTTATGTCCTTCTAATGTCGCGTGTGGAAATATAAAATTGTCACTTGGTTGCCATAATATATTTGCATGCCTTTAGACAATTGTGTTTCATAGCGGTAGAGGTCCGATCTCTTTGGTCTGTTTTAAATACAGTTTTGATAGACATATATGTAGTTGATAAAAATAGAATGTTTAAACAAAAATATCAATTATTGCGAAGATCGGAAATTTTATTATACTATTTGTAAAATTCATAACATTTCAACAACACTCCTACCCGGTCTTCCATGAAGATTCCGTAATCACAATATTTAAGCTCCTGTTACCGTCGCTCTGTATTGATTGTCTCTAAAAGTGAGATTCAGAAATGAAACTAAGCGCGAACTAAATGCCCTTATGTCATATTCAATTTTATATAGCACTAAGTGTCCTTTTAAAATCTCATCCTCAGACATACATACATAGTACACGCTTTAATTATAATTTCATTGGTGAAGTGGGATTTGAAGCCACTACCCTAAGGTAGTTCATTTTTTTTATAGAACAGGCAGGCTGGCAGGCTCTCCTGATGTTGTGTTATCACCGCCCATAGTCACTCTCAATGCCAACGCTCGCGAGAGCGTTGCCGGCCTTATAAGAATTGATACGCTCTTTTCTTGACATATAAAAATATTTTATATCAGCGTTACGTCCGTTAAGACAAACAATTTTTTTTCAGAAATGCTACCGGAAGTGATCGCTACAGCTTGCGGCAAATGTACAGAAATTCAAAAAAAGAAACTCCGAAAATTCATCAGTGTAATATTCGAGAAAAAAACAGCATTAGCGGTTGAACTCCAGGCGAAATATGATCCTGAGAGTAAATTTCAAGATAAAATTGCCGCATTTTTGAAGGATGATAATTAATGATTAATGATGATTGTTTTGGAATGACGTTTAAAAATGCGAACTTCTTTCTTGATGAGACTTTTTTATAGACATTCGCACTTTTAAATATTGCAGTTGCAACTATGGACTATTGCTATTCAAAATATAATTTATGATTTAACAATTTTAAAATAAATACTTGAACAGTGGAGCATTAATAATTGTTTTTTGGGGTTTACTCCTTAAGAAACGATTTGAGTTATAAGGCCCGGTACGGAAATTTTATGAGGAGTAAAATCAAGTGTAACACGAAAAGTTGAGGCGTTATGTAGAAAGAGACAAATGGATTGAACGTGTAAAAGAATGAGATGGAATACATTACACAGACTTTTCTATTTTGAATTCACGTTTTGACAGCCACGTACAACATTGTCAGTGTTGACAGGTGTAAAAAATAAAAGTAGATTGTCTAGCGTGCCATAGAGTTTTTTGTCAATAGTAATGGTCAGTGAAATTAAAACTAAAAAGAATGTTCATTCTTATTCTTCTCTTACTATAAAGGTAACTTTGGTCACAGAAAGAAAATCCTATTTGGGCATAGATGATGTAGGTACGTTTTATTACTACTACAAACATTTATAATATGAAAACATATATTCTTACCACCTTTAGTATGAAAATATGGTCGACAGCCACAGAACATTATCGCCATTTTATCGTTCGTAAGGAGTAAACTCCAATCGTGCGTCGTAGCTGACACACACACACTTTTTTTTATTCATATACTGTTTAAACATATACTTTTAGAAATACTATATAAAAATAACATATTTCATTTCACTTTCCGTTACACAATATGTTACATACACTATAAAAATAATTAATAGTAATACATACAGAGAAATTATTGTGTTGATTCATACACATTTGTTTCGGATACACTTTGTTGATTAAATTGACTACAGTAGAATCTATTCGCTATTATATTTGTGTCATGTTCGGCTTTCATTGCATCATGCCGCAAATTTTGTTTAAGGCGCAAAGTTTTTATATACAATTGACATAGAGCTTACGATTCTGACTGCAAAATATTGCCTATTGGCTTTTTGAGACGCGCGATTTAAGGGTAATTATTTACCCTACGAATGTTATGACAGCTACATTGAAATTGCACACAGAAACGTCGTTTTAATACTGCCGTTGAAATAGGTACAAAGTACTTGATATCTATTATTACTAGTCTACATATTTTCTCAGTGTAATCATAATGTAAGCTAAATATTTATTAATAGCCTAATCATTTTGCTAAAAAGTGAAAAGCCGCTTTTAAAACTCATTCAATCATATAATGGAAATAAATATTTTTAATTTAGTATGGAACACTGTCAGAAATATTATCAGAATGTCTCGTTATTAATACAACTGTGCGATGCTCCATGATCGTGCGTTCAAACTAGCTGCTGTGGTATCTGGCAGAATGACCAGCGCTGTGGAAAATTTTGCTCCTAAGCATAATGCTGAGCCAGGGCCAATTACAGCCACAGCACACACGCATTACCCACTTGAAACGAACCGAACGGGAAAAAGGGATTTTTTTATATCTCTCATTATATTTTTTTCTTGGATTATTGATATTTTGTGTGTTTATGAGTGTGTGTATTAGTTAGTAATAAATTTTATGTCTATGTCTACATGCCGGTAGATTAAAAATATCGTGAAACGGGCATGACTTTCCCAATAATCGATAAAGTTACGCGCGGATGTCTGACAACCTACATGCCAAATAAAATTGAATGAAACAGATATCTGCTCCCTTCTACTCCATTCATTTAAGGACCAATATGGTTGCCAAACTCCAAAAAAGTACATTGTTTCTTTCCATTTTTCGTCATCGTTTCTTGAAGTAGAATGATTGGAAAAATATATGGTGTTGAGTAGTTTATGTATCCATTTTGAAAGATCGATACACGATTTAAAGTACTTCGCTTTATAGGAAACAAAAAACCAAACATAGCCAATTTTTGACACTTTGAATTCATTTTATGACGAAAATGTATATAGAACATGATTTTGAAATTTACACGATATATTTTATCGCAAGCCATTTCAGAAAAATAATGATTATATAACATTAATTTAATGTTTTACATAACTAATTGTTATTACGGACCGGCGCGCCTCAGAGCTCCAGGTCTCCACTGCGCCCCGCAGTCCACCCCGAGACACTGACACAGCAATTCGTGCTGGGATAGGGCCTTAACGGGTTTTTTTCAGAAACACGAAATATTATTTAAGATTTTTACCACAATGACCATCGTCTTGTGACATTATTTTAATCTGTGGTAAAAAATCAACAGAGATTTAACGATTGCACAGATTACATTATACAACGTCTTACGTCACGCTGCAGCCTGGCGCAACTGACCTCGCCTGACACACAAACACACATGCAACCACATAAGCCTTACTCAACATTTATGACTCACTGATTCATTTATCTGTTGAACTATTCTTATGGTAAGATACTTTATTGTCAGTGGCATAATGATATCCTTCAATATTACCCTAAACATTATCATTTTATTCACAACCGGAACAATCCCAAAACAGTTAAACAAATCTATCAAAATGCTAGACCTCCCGTTCCATTTCTAAAATCCTTCAAAAATAAAATGAAACAGGGCAAGAATAGCCCGCAAATTTGTACAAGATAATAACCCATAAAAAACTATGTTCACTTCGCATAGGCCATTGAACAACAGTGCACCAGGATTGATTCATTCAACCCTGAGCTGCCTGAGCCTCTCGCGCACCTATACAGTTAAAAACATAACAATAATAATAATCTTCTTTAACATATGTAAATTGATTAGATTATGTTTGTCGATGTTTCAAGTGTTAAACAAAAACCGTGACTAGCATACAAAACAAAATATTGTTTTTATAACGAACAAGTTTAATTTTTTACATCAAAATAAATGTATAAATGACATGTATTTACTTTTAAAATACTTTATATTAATTGATTGTTTAATTGTTGTGTTTGGTACATTATGATTGAAATCATATATTATTTAATTGACGTTAAATTTAAAACTATACTAACAACAAGACAAGAAGAGAAGTAGACTTTTTAAGTTGCAGATTTTCAACAACAAGGTCCTCAAGAGGTTAAAAAAAGTAAAACAGAAGTTATCACAATTTCTTTATTATATATATCAGTCTACACAAGCACGTCCAATTGGGAAAATGCATCGTGTTTTTTAATATTTTTTATCACAATCTTATATGTTATAAGAATTCATTGGAACCTCATTATAAAAATGACAATCTTTCTGCACAATCAAGGTTATTTTTGGGATTGGGAATCAGGGAATAAAAATAGGATAGGTAGGAAGATTACAGGTGAATAAAAACTAAAATTCTAACAAAAGGGTTAGTTAAATTATCAACTGTTCGTTATGTTTAACGATCACTTAACTGAAATTAAAAGCTAAAAAAAATTCTGCCCGATACTTGATCAAACAGTTGTTAAATATTAGGCATATCAATTTGTTATTTATAATTTCGTTACCTAGATACACCACTGTGTACTACCTATTGGAGAAAGTTCAATGAAAATTACAAATTTAGCTTCCTTGGATGAATTTATCGAAGTTGTCCCTGTGTTTGCCAGTTGGGTCGTTCTTCTTCACAAGCTCGTCCCATTGCTTGGGATGTTGCTGCTGGATAGCCTTGATAACTTTTTTGATGTTGCTCTTCTGTTTGTCACTGCATTTTCCGCAGGTCGTCTCTATTGCCTCTGGTAAATGCTCTAAAGAAGATAGAAACCCATTAATGATACTGAAACTCTCTATGGGGACAAGGTAGTACATCTGTTGAGGAAACCGGCATTTCCAACAATAAACGACATGTGTCATGAATAAGGGCTGATTACCTACTTATAACTGATTCAATTACCTATTTAGAGTTGTTGCGTAATGCACATTACAGTTCTTTAGCAATTCATTTGTCAAAATATTTTACTAAATTATGCAACCTAAACTTCATACTTTTTACTTCGCTTAAGGTTAATATAAGAATTTACTCAAGTAGAGATTAAAGAGAGCGGATCGGTGCCCTGCAATATGATTGCAACAAATATTATTGCAGACTACTCTGACATAACAACTGAACATAACACCTCAGCAACTTCTTTATATAATAAGCAATTTATAACGGTAAATAACTTCGCTGTATATAAAGCACAGTCTTATGTAAAAGAAAATCTGGAAGATTCCGTAGATGGAGTGGAATTGCCTTTACTATATTGGAAAGTTTAATCCTGGTGATTAAGTATGGAATTCTGGTTGTCCCCGCTACTGATACCTTTTCACTTAAAAATATATGAATTATGATTATTTACGCTTGGGAGTTCTATGTGATACTTATTAAGTACACTTTAAATGTATTAATTAAGCCATGTATTGATATATGAGAAATTATCCTCTTAGTGAGCCAAGGCCAGAAATGTCCTTGAATCAACCTCGACCTTTATGCATAGTAACGCAATGTATCCTGTGCGGACGTTAAAAGACTTCACAAGTATTGTAAATATACGTTATTTACATTTTGTGTCGCGCCATTTGAATATAATAAGTAAGGAACTTCTTAACGAAAACTGCCTTTTTATAATGTTTTAGAGATAATTTAAGACCAAAAAGTAACTTTTGATATAAAACGAACGACCAGTGATTTCGGTTCAAAGATACTTTATTTCTCAAAGAATTACATTGACTGAGAAAATTTAGGGTAAGTTAGTTATGTACATCGTGTTGTGAAATTATATTTATTCGTGTTATGAAATTATTTTAATCCTATATAGTATTTTTGAGATCAAGGCTACAGAAGTGATAGGTCCGAATTTATAGTTAAAGAAATCCATCGCCGGCGAACCATGTCTTCCAACCAAAATCGAAGATATGTGTCACGAACGCCTGATCATATAAGAACGCGTATTACTCATGCTTAGTACGTTTTCCTTAACACTTAAAGGTTTGAGGCTTATTGCAGTTCGACCTAACACATTTTATTAGTACTTACAAATTATTGCGGTCATAGCATACTAAAACCGGTATACTGTATAATGAATTCAATCTTATCGTGACTGTATTTAGTCAATTTAATTTATTTTCGAAACATTAAATCTGTGTAATAAAACAAAATGTTACAATTTCTTTGTTAATTTTTTGTTTAAGTTACGATACGATTATTAATAGATAAAATACAACGATTTATCAAATATATTTCTACAAAAATGTGGCTTTGTTTGTAAGGTGACATCGTCGAAAAGACCGAAGAGTTTATTTAAAATTTTAATCACAGTAATATAAGCTTTAGTTCATGTAAAAAATTTGTACTTACTTTTAAAGTCTGCTCCTTCAGAGGTACATCTGCCCTTGTCCAAGAAACAGTTGATGTATGACTTCAGAAGACGTTCATTAGAGATCAATGTGTCGACATCGAAGTTGTCGTACTTTGAACTATATTTCTCTACAGCTGACACCGTAAGAACCAAACACGCGAAGACAACGACAGCCCTCATTATAATATCTGGAATAATTTGACTGTTAAAGCATTTAATTTGAATACAAAAATACTTTAGTAATACAGAAACACAACGAAGTGAGACTATTCATTTTATATGTTAATATGCTGGCCGATTTATATATTGTTATAATGCAGCCAGTATTCGAACATATTTCTATTTTGTTTAAATAAAAAGGTTACATGCTCTTGAAATAACTCTGTACTTCATGCTTTATAATTAATATTCTTACTCAGTTAACGAATATGATAAACAAAAACGTCACTGAAAACGCGTTACGCAAAAATTAATAAATCAGCAAATGGCAAAACGGAAGAATAATTGACAAACCGACAATTTATATCTGATAATTTAAATTCGAATACAAAGCACTATAAAAACGGTATCGCATAAACAATGGAACGTTTTCCCCTTCCAAGAACATGTCTGGAATTCGTAATCATGTTAAAGCAAATTCTGACACTAAGTCACAAACCTTTTACTCACTATAAGGGACCCAAAGAACTAGCCAATGCAGAAAGCAACACTGCTTTTATATTGACCACGATAAATCTACCACTACCAACGGCGCATAGTTCTCAGCCGTGGTTTTACGCAAGCAATTATGTGCCTTTCGTCTGATATAGTAAGGCTGGAGGTATCACGGATCAATTTTATTCGTAACTGTTGATGCCGAAATTGTATTGGCTACGCTATTACCAGGAAACTATTGAGCAACGCGAAATTTTTAAGTTATGGAAGGTAGGTTTGTATTATAATTTTTTTTAAACACTTAGGTATCATAGAGTATTCCAATTCTTTGAAAGACAATAAAACATAATATAGTCTAAGCCATCAAATAATATAAGTATTTGGAAAAGTGAATTTAAATGTCGTAATTACTTACGATGTATGCTGTATGATTGTATGCTTTCCGCATTGTGGGAAAAGCTAAACAGTCAGGGTCAGCTCATTATCAGACTGGCTAATTGCTTGAAACAAGAACAGACTAGAAGAAAGAACTCACCTAATCAAGTTAATTAATAAATTTAAATAAATATTATCTTGATTTTTTTGATATAGTTCTTAAGAAGTTCCCGAAAAATCTGTTCTCAGGATCCAATCGACTTTTCAGTGTATTGTAATCATCGTGTAGGTACAGGTTGAAGGCTTCGAAGGTTTTCTGTGCGAGCCTCTTTTGTGATGGCGAACATCGTGAGCAAGCCGTTCTGACTATTTCCGGTAATGCCACTATAAAAAAAATATTCATTAGTATTTTAGCGGGGATATTAAGAAAGTGTTAGTGTACTATACGAATTTTGATGAATTGTGTATAAGCTTAAATAGATTTAGTTTAGAAGATAGTGATACTATTTTATTTCCATATTAGATAAATTAATAGAAATCTTAACACTTAATATTGATTTTTTTAATCTATCATAGGAAATGAATAATAGCAATACAATCAACAGGTAGTAAATAAAATTAAACAGTACTTTAATAGAAATAAAGAAAACGGAAGAAAATCGGAATTTATTTTTCGATGATTTTAAGGAAACTCTGTTTACCTATTTTTATTCTATTGTTTATTATACTCATTTATTTTATTTTCCGCGTAAACTGCCATTAAAAAAGTAAATGCCTACTTAATTTTTCTATAAATAAATATTCTATTAGATACTATTTATTGAGAAAACTACAATATCACAATTACCAATAGAAGCGTATCAGTTTCAAAAACGGAAGTTTGTTCCTGACAAAGAGTTATGTTGCTTTATAAATGGTTTTATAAGCATGATATTAATAATTAATCACTATCCAAATATAAATAAAAATAGCCTTTATTCGAGTACTACACTACACTAAGTCCATGTCATTATGTTTAAGTGCCCTGCCTCACCGGGACGCCATGGCGACGTGGCCAGCGACGTCGCCAACTAGTTCATATTAAGATGTATGCCGGCTAACTCACTTGGCTACCGACTGGCAACGTCGCCAAGTAGCCAGCGTAGCCAGAGTCGACCGCTCCGCATACGGCGACTGGCGACTTAATTAAGTCAACAAACTTACCATGAACATCATTAATAATTTTAATAAATATCAGCTTAAGGCAATTTATATACAACAATGGCTCATGGTATGATTCTCGCAATACAATTCCAATGGCTTTTTCTTTGAAGGGAATTACCGGTGAAGGAAAATATTATGGGGAAACCGTAAAAAGAAATTATAGATAGAAGAATAGTGTTGGCCTTGTGGCTTCAGCGTGCGATTCTCATCCCTGAGGGTGGAGGTTCGATCCCCGGCTGTGCACCAATGAACTATTTATGTGCTCATTTAACATTTGCTCAAACGGTAAAGGAAAACATAGTGAGGAAACCGGCTTGCCTTAGACCCAAAAAGTCGACGGCGTGTGTAAGGCACCGGAGGTTGATTACCTATTTGATCGACAAATGATCATGAAACAGATACAGAAATCTGAGGTCCAGACCTAAAAAGGTTGTAGCGCCACTGATTTATTTATTTTTATTTTATAAAGATTGATGAATCATGTCGAAGTGTGGTAATTATTCAAAAATCCGTCTTTTCATAAGTGACGACTCATTGGTCTAGTGGTTAGTACCCCTGACTGCGAATCCATGGGTCCCGGGTTCGATCCCCGGCTGAGACGAACATCGATGTGATGAGCATTTGGTGTTGTGCTTAGGTCTTGGGTGTTTAAATATGTATTTATATGTCTATCTATCTAGAATATGTATGTATATCCGTTGCCTAGTACCCATAACACAAGCTTCACCAGCTTAGCATGGGACTAGGTCAATTGGTGTGAATTGTCTTTAAAAAAAAATAAAAAATAAATGCTAAACTTATTACTTGTAATATATCTAGTTGATTATATTATAATTTGTATATAAATGAATTGCTGTTCGTATGTCAAAAAAAAAAACTCAAGAATGGCTGTACCGATTTGACTAACTAGATCTTGAAATATTTGTGGAAGTTCAGGGAAAGTTTAAACGGTGGGAAACATTAATCATAAACAACAATTTAATTATTATATATTAAAAACTGCCGGGAAATATTTAATGTCTTGTCTTTTTAGAAATAAAAAATTGTCACTTGATTGTCATGTATGCCTTCAGAATTGTGTTTCATCGCTGTAGTATGTGGTCCGATCTCTTTGGTATGTATTAAAAATTCTGTATAGAGTTTTCGACACAAATATATGTAGGTGATATGAAGTTCAACGGGTCATTAAGTAATTGTATAAATAAGTCGGTGGTACGTGTATTTGGCAAGTAATCAGGTTTTAAAATAAACAATTCTGCAACTTAGCCATTAAGTGAATGTTCAAAACGCGAACACTCAATTTTGGTATCCATAACGTAACATATTAAATACACGTTATATATATTATTGAAACTCATAAATAGGATATGCTACCTACGAAACTATTGTTTGACATATAACATAATAAACTCTACTTATCCAGAGCTGGATATACTCGGTAGTGGGCTCATCAACTTAAAAAAAAGCGTTGTTAAGCGCCTATCTGGAAAATAATAAAATAAAAAATACTAGTTAAAACTAAAAGTATAATATTATAATTATTTTTTTATTTTTTTGTCATGTATTTTAGAATTGATAGATTGTAACTTATACTATAGAAAATACAGTAATTATGATGTGGTGTACTTTAATAAATAAATAAATAGATCACCCAGATACTTACTAGATTTCTTCAAAGGAAATCATGGGTCAGAAACTTATTAGACCTATACCTTTTTTTAAGAGAAGTACATTTATGTATTTTTGTATCGAATATTTAAAAAAAACTCCTGAACCTTTTTCAAAATTAATTTCACTGTTTGAATGCTTAATTTCACTGTTTGAATTACCTTTAAGTAACATTAGCTTACTAATATTTATTTTCAAAATATAAAAAAAATCTCTGTGAATGTGTAAGTAATATTTCAATACAATTATGTCTTGCTTAGTAAGCGTAATGTAGCATAGACCAATAGTACGGGAGGTAGCAACGTTTTCGAGAAAGAATTTCAGGTCAGCTGATTTTGTGATATGTCTTCCTTCTTGCACTTTCGGTTAGAGTCTGGGCAATCTGGCTGGCGGTAGCGGTTGCGTTCATTAGTGCGAGAAGACTCTAACCGAAAGTGCAAGAAGGAAGACATATCACAAAATCAGCTGACCTAAAATTCTTTCTTTTCAAACGTTGCTACCTCCCGTTCTACAACAACTGCTTTCGTTTTATTAAAGCTAAAGTAACTGCGTATCTGTGTACAATTAATTGATAAGATATTTCGGGTAGATGTTTTATATTTTCCCAACTCTTAAATTACCACATCCTTCAAAAACTTAAAGCTAATCACTTCGGATAGTCACCTTATATATACAAATTATAGTCACACAAATGAATAAACTAAAATAAGCCTTAGCTACTAAAAGCTATTTATTTATTTCGTAATTTATTTATTTAGATATTAAGCTTATGACATCACACACAGTACTAAAATTACTAATTATTTTACAAAAAATCTCACATCTAAAATGTGTGACAATTAATGTAAGCATAAGTTTCACAAAAAAAAAATTAAATAGAAATTAAAAATTACAATTAAAACATATACGATAGTAAAAGCACACAATAAAATAAAATACTTTAGCGTAATACTTTAGCTAACATAAATTATACATAAGGAAAACAATTATACCGAATATATAGCCAAAGGAGGAATTCATAATATACAAAAAGAAAAAAATATATGTAGCTAAAATATTAAATGTAGAATTAAGGCTGTTTACTTACATTTAAAGTCTTTTCCAATTGGAGTACAGGGCCCTTCGTTGAGGAAGCAATTAATATATTTCTTGAGGAGTCGCGGATTTTCAACTAGATAATCGGTATCGTAATAGTCATAGCGACTGTCGTAGAATTTTTGAGAATCCCCGCAAATGAATAGAAAAAATAATATTAAACACGTATACATAATAGATAATTTAATTCACTAGATAAGTAATGACTAGTTGAAATGTCCGCAAAAATCTTCTTTTATTCATTGAAGGTACTTGAAAGGTATAAAAAATTAAGTGTTTTATCCGAAGTTAGGAGAGCAAATTAAATATTTATTTTAACGTTTGTTCAACATTAAATAATATGAAGTATCTGACTTTATTAAGGAGATGAACATCAAAATTATTAGTAGCCTTGAAAAATGCAGGTAAATTTATTGTTGTATTAGCTTTTGTCTGCGCATTTGATTGTGTGTAAGTTTGTGTTTCTAAAATGATGATGATTATGTAGCAAGTTAATAGTTACATAATCATCATCAATAACTACGAGTATACAGCCCCTTGTGGGCCTTAGCCTCATCAAGTATATTAAGCCATCGCAATCTATTTGGTGATTATTGCATCCAACTTTAAACTCCTAGTGTTTCGAGGTCCTTGACAACCCCATCCCACCAATGCTTCGGTCTACCTTGTTTTCTCTTGCCACCAAACTGTGAGTTCAGTAAGGACCTTGGGGTTCTGTTGTCCGCTATTCGGTGCACATGTCCCAACCACTTCAGCCATTATAAATTGGACGATGTCGGCGTCATCAAGGATGTTATAAAGTTCTTCATTGAAGCAAATACGCCAAACGCCGTCGTCGCAAACAGGACCAAAAACTCTTCGGAGAATCTTCCGCGCGAAAATAAGGAGAGCAAGTCTATCTTGCTACCGGTCCAGGTTTCAGAACCAGCTCATTAGTGGTAGATATTCCGGAAAACTTTATTTTACTTGCATAAAAATCAGGCGTTGTATTATTAAATTTGTAAGTAGTTTAAATTACGAAATATAAACTGAATGTAACCTTTACCAAATTGTACATTGTTTACTCATCATACAGTCAATATTAATAAATAGAACCAACAAAAACGATTATACTTCGTAATTCATTAGTACTAGTATATTAAACAGACACGCAAAAATTTGGGTTTTTAATGCAAAAAACGGTTTGATCGCTTAAAATTACACGTTTTTAAATTTATTAAACGAAAAGTAATGAATATGATTTTTATCCGAAAGTGATATTTCTTGGTTTTATATCATAATGAAATTTAATGAAAAACAATTATTTGTTCTTAAATTATTAGGTGAATGCAATGTAAAAACGAATATTTTTAAATTCGTATTTAGATTTGTTTAACGTAAGCGAGACAGTAGATTTTATTTCCTGGTTCACTACCACTTGCGTTACAATACTTAACATCCTTTTTTGTAACATCATTAGTAGTTAAAATGACTAAGTATAAGAGATCAGTAATGACTAAGGTTCTATTATGGATAGTGTGTATCAAACTCAAACTCAAAATATCTTTATTCATATAGGTAAACAAGTACTCTTATGAAAGTCAAAAAAAAAAGTTTAATTAATTGTAAATTTACATTTTCTACCAATTCGCCAGTCAAGGGCGTAGAGCGGGCAAGAAGAACTGGCAAGAAACTTTCCGCCACTCTTTTTAATCGCTAAGTTTTGAGTCATACAAATTGTTTATATAGACCACACTACTGTCCCATCAAATCCTATACCCTTGGATTTGTAGCGAAATCTACAATCTGCACTTACAAATCACGGCGATAACGTCATACCCCGGAATGAACAAACGAAGTTATTCTTGCCGCTATGGATAAATAGAACTTCTCCACCTTGACCACTGGACCCTTAGTGGTTAGACTGATCGAGGATCCTCCCTTATTTTGGAGGAACAGTACACCATCCTTCCTCTACAGATTTATAAAAGAAGTGCTAATCAATACAAATATTGCGAGAGATGTATGAATTAGTTGCATCATGTTTTCACTATCGTATCTAATAAAAGAAACAAAAGACCTTTTATAAGCTAATTATATAAATTAATAGCTTTCGATATGTTTTTGTTGTTTAAATAAAAGATAGCTGTGGCAACCCAACTGTTTTTGTACGGGCTGTTGAACTGGTTCTGTACGGGGCTGTTCCGTATATTCATGTATATTACAAAATAAAAACCTCGGCGGAATTGGATCACATTTTCATCGACGACTAATCAATTTCCGAGCGGCTTGATCCCTTGCCGTTGTATAGAGATGTGGAGTATCTCTCCATCTTCTACCGCATTTACCATGGACAGTTCAGAGGAGTTTTTTGGATTAACACCTGCGGCTGAGTTCGATTACGAAACTCGTCGACGTCAAGGCAGAATACGAAATTCCACAAAAAGGCATCGGCATATTTTTGTTTTGTATAAACAGGACACTTCAAAGTTTGTATTTTATCGAAAACAAATGAATGAATTAAGAACATTTATTATGCATTTTTATTTTTTAAAAACCAGAGATTGCAGCTTGAAGAGGTTGAATGTATTTTCCTTGAGTGTCGTATTTCTGTAAGAAGACCCCGTACTCAGATGGCAGTTTCACCCTGGCTTCATCAATGAATCTTTTGAAGATATGCTTCTGTTTGTCAGTACATTTGGAGCAGGATGTTTCAAAAACTTCGGAGAGATCCTCTGAAATATAAGAGTTATTATAATGAGATCTGACTGTCTATTTGCGCATATAGATTTATTTCTATATGCGCATTTAATATTCGAACGGTGAAGGAAAACATCGTGTGGAAACCGTCTTGTCTTAGGGTGAAGATCTTAGAGTGCGCACTTGGACTTTGCTCAGACTTACCTTACGAAAAACTGTGCTTAGTGTACACTAAGGTTAAACTATGATTTCGTATTTATAGACATTTTAACGGTGAGATTAAGCTAAGCCCAAGCTAAGACAGAAAATGTCAAAATACAAATTGATGTTTCATTTCATGCAATACTTTGTTTATTATCCTTTAAAAAAGTTAACAATAACAAATATTTAAAAATCTAAAACGGTACACATATATCTTCAATTTATTGTTATTTATGTATTCATTTATTTTATTATTGCAATAACTAGAAATTCACGAGTAACCTTTAGAAAATGTATTAATTATTTAAAGATGACAATAATTTTATTACGTAGAACGGATCGCAATGTTTTGGTTAGGTTATAGTTTGAATTTCGTTGTCACTATAATATGCCAATTGCCAGGGCTGCCAGGTGACATACAAAATCACACCAGTTATTTTTAAGATTTCTCAAAAATGGGGTTTGAACAATTACATAAATAATATAAATAAACAACAATAAATACCATAATAATGTGTAATTATTTTATTTCATGCATTTCATAGGTATTTATCAAGATCATTTATAATTTCTTTGAATTCAAATTCTATTTTTCCCAAAGTCTATGGAACTCCGATACAAAATGGCAGCACCGTTCATTAAAAACCGACAAAAATAAAAAGTCCAGTAAAAGATATGATGGTAAAGCAAATTTTGGGCCATTATTTTTGTTAGGCTTATAGTCAAAGTTTTTGGTAAGTCGTCGATTTCGTGGACTTGAGATTAAGCTAAGCCAACACTAGGGAGAGATTCGTAGTTTGCTCTATAAATACCGACTGTGTCTTAGCTCGATAGTTAAGTCAGAGCAAAGTCTAAGTGCGCACTATAGATCTCACCCTTAGACGAAAAAAATTCAGAGTGTGACAGGCACAGGAGGCTGGTCACCTACTTGCCTATTAGAATGAAAAGATACAGAAATTTGAGGCCCAGACTTAAAAAGGTTGTAGCGTCATTGATTTTGTTTTTCTGACAGTCCATAACATAATGTTAATTCGGATAGTATGTCAATTCATACAATGCTTCCTTCACCGTACAATCAAATTAATAATGCACATAGTGACGGTAGTGTATGTTAAATAATTCAACATATACTACAGAATTATTGTAATTAAAGATTTAAAGCTTATCCATTACCATATCAAAGTATTTGTTTTCTAAAATTATTGTTTATTTCTCGCGTAATGAATTCATGTACAGATTAATTTTGAGATAACCTTGGTATATCACAGGTTTAATGTGCCCACAGTCAAAATAAGCTATTACAATTATTTTGAAGCCAAGCGTAGGTATAATCATAATTATTTATTTTGTATTGTGGTCACGCAATTTTTATTCGTCTAACACAGAAGGCCTGGGTATGTTTCACATGCGGTTCATTAATTTAAAAACATGAAGCAAACATGTCTGGAAATACATGTTTTCTTTATATCAAAGAATTCAAACAAAGAAATGTATGCCTTCTAGTTAAGGGTAGGGTTTTGGTGTAAAGAACAAATTAGAATAATGAGAACATTTTATCACAGGGAATCTATAATGAACTTACTACCAAATTACATTAAAATAAAAAATCACTTTAAAAAGATCAGTGGCGCTACAAATTTCTTAGGTCTGGGCCACAGATTACTGAATCTGTTTCATGATCATTTTTAAATCTAATAGGCAAGTAGGTGATCAGCCTCCAGTGCCTGACACACGCCATCGACTTTTTGGTTCACTGTTCGAAATGTTAAATGCGCACATAGAAAGAAAGTCCATTGGTGCACAGCCGGGGCTCGAACTACGACCTCAGGGATGAGAGTCGCAAGCTGAAGCCACTAGGCCAACACTGCTATTCTGCAAAATCACTTTAAACTAATCATTATCCGTAATAATATCTATTTTTTTTTATATATATAATATACCCGTAGCTTAAAGTATAGTTTAAAGACATATCAGCCAGCACTTACTTTTAAAATCCGATTTCACCTCATCACACGGTGTGTTATCATTGAAGCAGTTGATGAAATCCCTCAGAACTTCAACGTTAGATACCACAGACTCAATATCTATGTCGTCATTGTCAGGGCTGTAGGTGTTTGCTGCAGCGAGCACCAGGAACGCAGATAAAATCAGTAGCTTCATATTGACCTGCGACACACGAAATTTCAATTTCGAATACGAAAGACAAGTAGAACCCCGTGTTTTTATTCGAAAAACTTCGTTTCGACCCCGCCCCATCTTCGGTCACGATAACTTAAATCCATTTCTATAGGTCAAATTACATATAAATAAATACAATTTTAAAAGTCTTTTTAGTGCAATATATAAGCTATATTTCGATTGTATTCTTTAGAAAAGGGTTGATAAATAAAATAGTATCATAGTAAGCTGAATTTTATTGGTTATTATGATTTCTATTGATTGTATCTCTACTTTGTCAATATACAGACAGTAAGTACACAGTGGCAAATTAATAATATGTACAGAGATATGATATGAAAGTCAAACTTATCTGAGGAAAATAAACAATATATTGAACTTTGCTCTTTTTAAATAATAAGAATGAAAGATAAACGCTCAGCTTTCTCAATAAACAAATAGTCTTGTTAATGTATCAAGAAAGTACTTGGTCATAGATTAGAAAAAATACTTAAATATTTTTGGTTAGGAGATATTATATACTGTATAAATTAACAATGAAATATATGAAAACCTGACTGCCCTTCGTCCCAATAAAATTAAGGATCAAATAAAATAGAAAATAATAATTTTACCTGAGTTGTAATGGTGTCCAGTAAAATACTTGAAATAAATGTTTTCTGATTGAAATCGGTTTATATATCTTCGTTAATTCCATATTATATTCAAGTCATGTAATTCTATGATTCTCTCACGGTATAATAAAAAATGCAAAACGTGATTATAATGTCAAACGAAATATATATGAACATACGTTTCCCGCACTTTAATCTGGAATAGGAGTAGAAGAGATTCGATTATTTTTGAAGAATCAGCGTCAATTCATAGCAAACTATTAAAAAGTATGATAAACAAAATATATATTAACAATTTGAAAGTAAGAAACTTTATTATACAGTATAATAAAGGTTTTCTATATCTTCTGTCTTATAATAAAGTATAATATACACAATAAAAATCAAGTTTGGGTAAAAAGAAAGTACACTAGCCCCCACACTAGGATTTCCTGTGTCTTGGGCAGGTAGAAACATCAACGGTACTTGACAATAATTTCTACATAACACCTTTTTTTAATTAAAATATTGTTGCACAATAAAAATATTTCTGGTACAGCATATTCTTATTGTGGTATATACACTATACAGGTTGAAAATATGTTGTTTAAGATTGTTAGTGAATGATCCAGTTCTGTTGTGAATATTTAGTTTTTAAGAAAGTGTTTAAAAGCAAATGAATTCATATCAGCCATATTATATTCTAAAGCTAATTTCTATGTAATTCTTTGTTGTTTGTACGTGAATACAAAGTGAATGAGCTTTGTGCATAGCCGGGGTTCGATCTTCGACCTCAGGTTTGACAATCTCGGTAATTTTAGCAATTAACACTGCAGGACTTTTGTTAACAGGCCTTACAAAGTGTAAGGCGCAAAATTTTCCTTACTGCGACCAGTACCAACCACCAATTACCAATACATCTCACAAAAATACTTTTTTTGTCGATGCAAGTTCATAGACTGAGTTATTAATTAAAATTTTGCATATATATAATACTATGTAATACAGTATGTGAATTTAAATATTTGCCCAAGATAACATCTTGTCGTAGTTTTTTCTTGTACATATAGTGTACGTGTATCCCAACATTCACATTCTTCTCCAATGTGCTATTTTTGTACTTTAGTTATATATTTTTTAACTAGTGTACAAGTGAACAGGTAAATGATAAAATGTATTAAATGAAAACGTTTATTATGTATATTGTAAAGATATCTGTTACAAAATTGTATGTTTAGGCTCCTTGTACGCTTTTGAGGAAAGAATCCATGTATTCGGCCTTAGGATCGTATTTTTGTACGAAGTTGTTGTATTCCTGGGGCAGGTTTTCTTGTAACTTTGTGAAGAATAAGTTAGCAATATGCTTCTGAGCCGGTGTGCAGTTAGCGCAATTGCTTGCAACAGCTTTGGGTGTAATTTCTGAAAAAAAGAGATTTCAGTCAGTCAATAAACACATTGGGAAAATTAAACCAGACTAAAATTTAAAAGATAAAAAGAGAAGAGCAAATACTTATAAGTTCCGTTTAGTATTAATTATTTCAATAAATAGGTATAATAAGTGATTAATAAACAAAATATTATGGGTGGTTTACCAATTTTAATAGAAAAGTTCAGGGCAAATATGACCGTCAAATAAAAGTTTATATTAACATGTTAAATGTTAGGGCATAATAAATAACACAGCAATTAAATACCAAGATTCCAAAAGCCATTTATGAGATTTTTAAGGAAATTTTACTAAAAGTTGTCGTTCATTTATTAATTATAACTGCCAACTATTTAGCATTTTGGTGTGAGAACAAAATATACATTGTTATTTCTCTTACTATATCTTTCTTACCTTTTAATTTAGCTGGTGCCGGCGAGCATGGTGCCCGGTCAAGGAAGCAATCGACTAAACTTTGCAATTTCTGAGGATCAGCAATCGCCTTTTCCAAATCTTCTTCGGCCAGAGCGACGGCAATGATAGCAACCAACACGAGAAACTTCATTGTTGATATCTGGACATTGCAATTTACGTTTGACAGGCGTTTCTTTTTATTTCGTGTGATTTGTACTAGATCTTAATATTGAAATACTTGTTGTATTCGCTTAAAATAGGATTATTAAATAAGATATAATTATATTATAAATTTTGGTAAGTATATCAATTGAATTAATTATGAATTTATTGTAATACGAGAAATTTATTGTTTCTGGAATATCTTTAAAAATAACTATAATTTCTGGAATATAGGTTTTTTTATTAATATTCACTCCAGTAAAACTACATAAAAATGTTCTACAACATACATTTTATATGGGATAACTTAAATTAAGTTAAGTACCTACTTACCGTCGCCTATTGACACCCGCAACACCATGAATTTTGCAAGTGTGTTACCGGGAATTGGGTAATAATCATATGAAGTAACTCAAAGGCCACTATATACAGAACTACCAATACTTCCGAAGCAAATATTTTTAGGCCAAATACATGCCGGTTTAATGTCGATGTATTTACCGTACGAGCGAGTAGTAAATGTACATAGAGGAGTCCATTGATGCTTAGCTGGGGTTCGAACCTACAACCTCAGGGATGAGATTTGAAAGTTCAAGCTTTTACTTCAGGATTTAAGATCGATATAGCTATTGAGAGTTACAGAGTACCACTGACTTGAATAGATAGATGAAGAGGTAGTTTCTTTGGATATCATAGTCGATTAAATTATATTTATCAAAACACTTACCGATTATTTAAATCCCAAATGCAAGGCAAGACTCGTTAGACCAATGGACACTTCAAGTATAACATCAACTGAAATAGAACTGGTCTTATATAAATCTAAGCAACCTTCAAATTTGCGAACTCATGTTTTGATTTGTTCAAAAAAATTACTAACAATTAAGAGACTTTTTGTATCCTATTTTGTTCAATAACTTTTTGATAAAGGATTATTATGTAGTGTACGTTTTTTATTCATCATTAAAGCTTACAACTATCCGGTTGCAATCTGGAGCTGGAGACTGGCATTAGGATATCCCAGGATGGGCTTTACGACATGCTGATTGAGCACAAATCGCAGCTGGAAAAATTCTGACATAAAATTGACAAATACGTCAGAAAGATAAATAGCACAAGAGACAAAACGGGCCGAAATGGCTCGACCGATTTTCGTGCATATCGGTTAGGTCTGCGAATCGGACAACATCTATTTTTCACCCCCCTTAAGGTGGTCCACCCACAAATTTTAATTTTTATGTTTTAGACAAATTTGTTTGTTATGATACAGCATACAAAAATACATACAACCCTTAAATTTCATCCCTCTATCTAAAAAAATGTTTCCTAGAAATAATAACCTTGGCAAACCAACGTTTTCCGGGTAGTTATCTATATTATTTATTGAAATTATTAATATTACTAATCCAGTGGCGCTACAACAATAATATATTATGTACATGTGTTTGTTTTTTATGGCTGATCTGTGGCTGACGCATGTTGTAGATTTTATGCGATAATATATACATATAACGATGCCTTCATTTTGTGCATATAGAAATAAAAATTCTTTGTTAATGAGATTAGCAAGCTTAAGACCAAGTACTCAATGTATTAGAAACAATGAGTTGGTTTCTTCCTTTTATATGAAAACACAAAACTGTATTTAAATATATCGAAACACACAATAACTACATGCTCGTTTGCTGGGTTTGTAATTAATACATATTAATATTTATTAAAATAATTTTGCTTCAAAAGATCACATTACTTCTAAAACCCTGTTCGTATGAATCTCGTATTTTGATAAGACGTTATCGATTTGATAACCATTCAATTATTTTACCATTTTTATTTAATTTATTCTTACTCAAACTATATAACGACGTTCTTAAAACTACCCTAGTAACACAAAAATAAAAATAAGCCAATCTTTGTCCATAGACTCCAAATTTACACGTCTGTTTTTTTTATAAGTACTATAAAGCGGTATAGACGGTTTACCGCATTGCAGCGACTGCTCTAAGCGGTCGCCGCACGGCGATCTGCAATACACGGACCGCTCGAGCAGTTCCTGAGCAAACCGCATGTTGCAGTCGGTCTTGACTGCAACATGCGGTCCGTCTATGGCCCGCTTTACGCTTGATTCAACATTGAAAACCGTTTTGTTAAGTTGTTAATTTTTACATATTCATAATAGTTCAGCCTTGGCATTCTAATAAGATGTGATTTCAACTCGCAACTCATTTCATCTACAGAACTCCCTTCGTCATGAATATCGTGACAATTCACTCATTTTATTTATAAAATCTGTTAACTGTCCAAATTTTATCTTGTAAACAAAATGTACCGTTTTATTTGATAAAAATTGTTGACAAAGATTGATTATAGTAAGTAAACAATTACATTACCTAGTTGCATTTCAAAATAGAATGAAACACTTGTTTAATGTAGTGTATAAATATCACTCAAAAATAGCAAAGTAATCTGCGCATCTAGAAGAAGCGTCCGTGTACAATAGATTCCCCATATCGCATCTGAAGAGCTGTCGACAATGTGCAAATACAATAGAGAAATGGAAGCACAAATATAACCACGGCGATACTTCTTCCGGCTTTTTCAATATTTAAACAAATAAACCCAACCGGATTGATTTCACAGATGTTCACAGGTCACGGGTCGTATCTTTACAGGTTCAGAGTTAGACAAAGTCCTGCCTGTCCTTGTGTGTTACATATCTGACTGACTGACTATCCAATGTATGTCTACGACAGGTGTAACACTAAACAATTATAGGTATGAAAGTAACATAGATGAATTTAAAAGGAATAATTTTGGAGAAGAGGTCAAGAAGACATCTTTCTAAAATTTTCGGTAAATATTATACAAAAAGTAGTTAAAAAAATAAAATAATGAACAGTGTTGGCCTAGTGGCTTCAGCGTGCTAATCTCATCCCTGAGGTCGTAGATTCGATCCCCGGTTGTGCACCAACTTTCTTTCTATGTGCGCACTTAGCATTCGCTCGAACGGTGAAAGAAAACATCGTGAGGAAACCGACATGTCTTAGACCCAAAAAGTCGACGGCGTGAGTCATAATGTGTGCAATAATGTTTAATTGTTTTTTTTATCGACATACTTAATTAATTAATTGAATATTATTAAACATAGTTTGTGCAATTGTGTTTAGGTACACTGAAATCTTCAACAAATCAAAGTCGTTGATTTATAGTAAATTATAAATTAATATTTATTTAATTAGCTCGGCATCTTCGAACAGAGAGACCCCATATCTTTTCGCAACGTCAACGATCGGGCCACTCGGAAAAGTATTGGTCGTCGACGATTCGAACCGCTCTTCGTTAAATACGGTCTAGTGGAAGGAGCTGGTACTGGGGCCACCCGACCAGAGGTGAGAACCGTACTCTACCTGGGGCCGAATTTGCGCTTTATACAGTTGTAAGCAAAGGCCCGGAGTGAAGTACCGTCTTGCAATGACCGCGTGAATATTTAAAAAGGCTTTCGATGCGAGGCCGCCTTGCAAGAACGATTAAACCAGGACTGTAACTTGCCACCTTTAACCTGGTTAAACTTTTTATTTGATGCAAGATCTGACACTGAGTGATTTATTTAAATGCACATGCATTATATTCGAAAATAATATGCAAAAAAATTCATTATGTGAATTTCATTCATCATTTAAATATTTGCCCAAGATAGCATATTGATGTAGTTTTCTCTTGTTATAAATCCTAACAATCTGTGTTATTTTACTTTTAAACTAGTGTACGGGTAAATGATAAGATGTATTGAATGAAAACGTTTATTATTGCATATTATAAGATCTGTTACAAAATTTTATGTTTAGGCTCCTTGTACGCTTTTGAGGAAAGAGTCCATGTATTCGCCCTTGGGATCGTATTTTTGTACGAAGTTGTTGTATTCCTGGGGCAGGTTTTCTTGTAACTTTGTGAAGAATAAGTTAGCTATATGCTTCTGAGCCGGTGTGCAGTTAGCGCAATTGCTTGCGACAGCTTTGGGTGTCATTTCTGAAAAAATATATTTCAGTCGGTCAGGAAACACATTGGGAAAATTAAACCAATTAAATCAAATTTAAAAGATATTTATAGGTTTGCAAATACTTATAAGTTACGTGAAACATTAGTTATTTCACTAAATAGTTAAAATATATAGAGTTATCTTGCGTTACCTAAAGTACGTACGAACTACGGCAAAAAAATGTTTACCTACGAAGGCGCACAGCTGTATAATAAACTACCCACAGATATAAAAAATATTACTTCTATCAGTTTATTCAAATCGAAGCTAAGTGAATATGTTAGACAAAATTACTTTTAAATTCATTATAATTAATTTTAATCCATATTTCTTTGGGTACTTTTATTTTTAAGTTAATTGTATGTACGGCTATCTTTTATTGTGATTATTTTAAGAACGACTACAATGTTATGTTAATCTAAAGTATTATTCTCATGTAAGTGACATGTTTTGTCTTTTTGAGAAATAAAATCTTTAAACCTAATATATGGTTTACCAATTTTAATAGAAAAGTTCAGGGCAAATATAACCGTCAAATAAAAGTTTATATCAACATTACTTTAAATGTTAGGGCATAATAACACAGCAATGAAATACCAAGATTCCAAAAGCAATTTATGAGATTATCAACGTAATGTTACTAAAAGTTGTCGTTCATTTATGAATTATAACTGTCAACTTTTTAGCATTTTGGTGTATGAAAAAAATATACATTGTTATTTCTCTTACTGTCTCTTTCTTACCTTTAAAATTAGCTGGTCCCGGCGAGCATGGTGCCCGGTCAAGGAAGCAATCGACGAAACTTTGCAATTTCTGCGGATCAGCGATCGCCTTTTCCAAATCTTCTTCGGCCAGAGCGACGGCAATGATGGCAACCAACACGAGAAACTTCATTGTTGATATCTGAATATTGCAATTTACTTTTGACAGGCGTTTCTTTTTATTTCATGTGA